ACTTATATGGAAAAACAAAAAACCCAGGATAGCCAAAAGAATCCTGTATAATAACGAAACCTCTGGTGGCATCACGATCCCTGACTTCAAGCTCTACTATAGAGCTACAGTAATAAAAACAGCATTTTTTTTTTTTTTTGGTTTTTTTCGAGACAGGGTTTCTCTGTGTAGCTTTGCGCCTTTCCTGGAACTCACTTGGTAGCCCAGGCTGGCCTCGAACTCACAGAGATCCACCTGCCTCTGCTTCCCAAGTGCTGGGATTAAAGGCGTGCGCCACCACCGCCCGGCTAAAAACAGCATTTTTTAAATTGACAATTCATGTAGGAAGTCCCAGTCTACTGCGGGGAGTGCCACCCCTAGGCAGGCGCCCCTGACCTGTTTAGGGAAGGAAGCTGAGCCAGTTAGTGAAGAGTGTTCCTCCACAGTTTGCTTTAGTTCTGCCTTGAGTTCCTGCTGTGGCTTCACTCAATGACAGGCTGTAACCTATAGCCAAATAAACCTTTTTCTCCACCAAGTTGGTCTGTGTTTATCATAGCAACAGATAATCCATCTAGGACAGAAATTTATCCAATTAAAGCAGACTGCCGTTCATTATCTCTTGTTGCCTGAGACTTCTGGTTTTTCATACAAAAATTATCAAATTTAGAATAGTAAATATTCCTCATTGAGGGAACTATAAAACCAAGTTATTGTTGGTTAGCTCTCCCCATTTCTCCAAACACAGTTGAAAGTCTGTAACTGTCTCACATAAAGCTGGCTGCGTGTTGGATAGTGGTAGACCTAACGCTTCTTCCTCTTTGGAAACATTGTTTCTCCTGAAAAATCCCAAACCTCCATGTGCTATCTTTAGGAGTATGTGTTTTGGATGAGGGCTATATTCTGCTTTGGGCATTAACTTTTTCAGATTTTACCCTGAGACTGTCTTCTCCCGCTGTGTCTCAAGTTACCCCGGATGTTTACAGAAATGGTAGTGTGCTCAAGATGCTGGTGATCAAACCTTTTTTAGGTCTTCCTGGACATGCCAATACATTTCCTTCTGATTCAGGAGCAGGGTATATTTGTTGAGTGAGCTTGAGCAAAGTGAGGGAAACCATTGTTGCAGGTCTCAGATGCTATCTGATGATGATCTCAGCTTTCGGCTTGTGCAAGCTAGAGCTCTGCTAAACCGATACATTCCCAAGGAAACCAGTGCTATCTCTACACCCCACTACATCATTTTCCTAATGACCACCACGCTGTTAGGTGAGGTACACAGGAAAGCAGCAAACTACCACTAAATAAATGCCCATTAAGACGGCTAAAGGCGGCCCCAAATAATTTGTCTCTGAACTTGCAATTATATTTGACGTTCTAATGAGTTAATCAGCAGTGTAGAAGGTTCAGTTTGAAGGGAGAGCTTCTTTATGTGTTTCAGGTATTTGATCATGTTGTGAACCCCGAGTTTGTGTTAATTAAATAAAACCTTGCGTCAAGAGGCGGAGCCAGCAACTAGTTGACAGGAAGTAGCCATAAAGAGTTAGAGGGAGTTAGGAAATTGGATAGAGAAACACACAGGAAGTAGTAGGGGGACTTGTTTTGGTTTGGGATGGTGGAAGGAAAGCTCTCTTGCTTGGGTCACCAGCTAAGAAGGAAGGTCAACTGGTTGTTTCCTGGCCACTCTGAGCTAGCAGGTTTTCACCCCAGTATCTGACTCCTGAGTCTTTACTGGTAAAATAAAACGATAGACTTAGTTAAAAGCTTCATTTGGCTGCAGAGGCAGAGGCAGTTCAGCGGGACCCAGAAGTCCCACCAGGCCTCGACCTGAGCACTGGGGAAGTGATTTCGGAGCCACAGTCAGCAGCTGAAACAGCAGTAGACTGAGGTGCAGCTGATGTGCTGACACTAAAACACTTATGGGAAGTTTTGACCACAAAAACGAAAGGGCATTGGCCATCACTGATGGAGAGCTCATGAGGTGAGACTCAGGCTGGACTAAGGAGGTCTTAAACAATAGAAAGGAGTGGGTGTGAGGTAGAACAGAAGGTAAATTCTCAGGCCAAGTAGGGGATGAAGGTGGTCAAGAATGGCAGACACTCAGGGAAAGCCTGGCTGGCAAGTTGAGAAGGGGAATGGAAAGTCTTCACCTGAGGAATCTGAGCTGGAGGTAGAGGGAAGTGTGCCCTCATGAAGGCAGAATGAGATTTAAAGTGGTTCTCTCAGGAAGGCATGTTTTCACATAGGCCAACTACAGACAGGCTACCTGGGGAGTGCCTTCCTGAGGTGAGGCGCAATCTGAGGCCCTGGCAAACCACACTGAAAAGAACACCATCCCTCCCCTCCAGGAACTGCAGCCTAGTGTTAGGATAATGTCACGGAACCCTGTCTTCTGGACATGATACCAGCGGCCAGACCAACCATTATTACTCCTGTAAGGGCCTCACAGGTTAGGCCCACTGACATTTCCTTGTAGAAGGGAGGGCTCATACTCCCCGTTATAAACAGTTGACATTTGCTGGGGGTGGGGACTCTTCTGTGCTGTGCCTGCCAACATTAGTGCCCTATGCTGTTGCAACCCCTCACTCATGTTCCTGTGAGTAACCTCAGGGAACTTATTGGTTTGAAAAGCTAGACTTGGATGGACCCGATTCTTTGGTGTGTGGTTGCTCTATCTGGGGTGAACGGCAAGACTTCCAGGGAAAAAGTCATCAAACGGGTTATCGGCCTGGAAGTATGTCAATGAAAGCTGAACAGACAGTGAATGCTAGCGGTTCCCCGTGAACAAGGGCCTGGCCTAGGAAGGGAAAGGGGACAGAAATGAACCCTTGTACACGAGAGAGGTTTTTTTAAGTAAGAACGACAGTTGGCAGAGCACATGTCCAGCACACACAAAGCCCTGGGCTGAAGCCCTAGCATTACACCAAGTCAGGTGTGATGGCCACACCTGTGTGTAGAGGCAGGCGGCTCAGAAATCAAGGGCATTCTCTGCTATCCAGCAAGTTTGGGGCCAACCCGGGATACATAAGAACCTTCCTCAAAAATAAATAACACAAAAAATTGTATGTAACACTTAAAACTATATACACATATACAATTTCATATGCAATTTAAAAAATATAGAGGGTTGGGAAGATGGTTCAGTGGGTAGAGGTATTTGCTGCCTAATGACCTGAGTTCAGTCCCTGGGACTCACACAGAGAAAAAAGAAAAACAGCATCTGGAAGTTGTCCTCTGACCCCTGCATATGTGATTTCACACACACACACACACACACACACACACACACACACACACACACACATCGAGAGAGAGAGAGAGAGAGAGAGAGAGAGAGAGAGAGAGAGAGAATAAAGAAATTGAAATAAGTTTTAGAGTTAGTGTTGGATGAAAGAAATTAAGGTGGCACTCAAAAATTAAATGTTTGGGCTATGGCTGTAGCTCAGTGGTAGAGTGCTTGCCTAGTCCACACAAGGCCCTGAGTTCAATACCCAGTACAGCAAAATAAAACCCTTAAAGAATGGTCCTGATCCCTAGAAGATGAGGGAAGTGAGTAGAGTATGGCATGGTGAGCAAATGTGATGGAAAGAATTCATAGGTTGGAGGAGATACTTAGGAGTCTTTGTTCAGGAGGCAGAGGATGGAGTCATTCTCAGAGAGAAGAAGGAAATTAAGGTCAACAAGAGCCCCAGAATTAGAAAGTAGCCAGTAGAGAAAAGGGCTTAGGAGTGATACTCTTTAAGAAATGAGACTGCCGGGCGGTGGTGGCGCACACCTTTGATCCCAGCACTCGGGAGGCAGAACCAGGCGGATCTCTGTGAGTTCGAGGCCAGCCTGGGCTACAGAGTGAGTTCCAGGACAGGTACAAAGCTACACAGAGAAACCCTGTCTCAAAATAAATAAATAAATAAATAAATAAATAAATAAATAAATAAATAAATAAATAAATAAATAAATAAAAATAAATATAAATAAATAAATAAATAAAATGAATAATTAAGTAAATAAATAAAATGAATAAATAAGTAAATAAATAATAAATGAGACCACCAGGGCTGGAGAGATGGCTCAGAGGTTATGAGCACTGGCTTTTCTTCCAGAGATCCTGAGTTCAATTCCCAGCAACCACATGGTGGCTCAGAACCATATGTAATGAGATCTGGTGCCCTCTTCTTCTGGTATGATGCCCTCTTCTGGTGTGTAGGCATACATGTGGGCAGAACACTGTATACGTAATAAATAAATCTTAAAAAGAAAAAAAAAAAGAAATGACATACCCAACTCTACTCAAGGCCTACTAGTCCATCTGTCTCTGAAAACCATACGTATGGTCTGCTGTGGGCAGGCATAATGGCTCTGGCTGCAAAGGCTGATGCTACCCTCTGAGCATCCTTACTCTACTCATGTGGTATGATTGAATACTCCACAAATGAAGTATTTCCTGTGCTCTGGGCACTATGAATGCAGTGGTAAACAAAAGGAATTCAGTTCTGTCACAGTGCTTATATTCTGATCTGTAGGAGCAGGTGAGGCGGACAATCAGGATTTAAAAAGCAAAAAGGAGAGGTGGCAGCATGTTCAAAGGAGTCAAATAAAGCAGAGAAGGCAGTGAGGAGTGCTGAGATGATCGTGAGTTTGAGATGGGATGGCTAATTCAATGAGCACTCAGAAGGTATGTCAAGCAGGTGTGTCGATGTTTCAGGGGCTGTCAACCCGAAAGGAAAGGCACCAGTGTTTCCAAGACTGAGATGGTAGCAAACCTAATAAGTTTGAACAACAAAAGGAAAATTCACCCTACCTTAACACTTTGTCTTCCAATCTTCTGGAAAAAATTGTTCCTAAGAGGGGCTGGTGATAAAACTCAGGTTGTGGGGTGCTTGCCTAGCATGTATGAGGCCCTGTGTTTGGTAAACCGGGAGTGATTGAAAAGGCCTGTAATCCCAGCATCCATGAGGTAGGATAGGTGAGACCCTCTGTCCTCTGTCCTCTCTCTCTCCTCTCTCTCTCTCTCTCTCTCTCCCTCCAAACCTCCAAACCTCCCTCTCTCTATGGTTGAGACAGGGTTTCTCTGTGTAACAGCCTTGACTGACTTGGAACTCCCTTTGTAGACCAGGCTGGCCTCAAAAACCAGAGATCCACCTGCCTCTGCATCCTGAGTGCTGGGATTAAAGGCACGCGCCACCACTGCCTGGAAGAGACCCTATCTCAAAACCCAAACAAAAGATTGTTCTTCAGCTTCCAAGCCACCTCCAGGTGAACAAGCCTGAACTGGGCAATAGGCAGAGGAAGAAGGATGAAGTTGTTCCGGCGTGACCTGAGCAGAGAGGAAACCACACTTCTCTCCTTGGTTTATGGCTTTACTCTTTAAATTAGATAAATAGACGCTTGGCGGGGCATCTCTCAGAGATGTGTTTCTTGTCTAGTTCTCTTCAGCCTTTCTCCCGGGTCTCTTCTATTTCCTTGTGTTGCTACTTTTCTCTCTGCATCTCTTCTCTGACCCCCTCCTGCCAGCTTCCATGTCGCCTCTGGTTTGTCGGTGTGCACAGCTCTCCTGGGATCGCTTCCCTCGTCTTGCGCCTCTCCTGGCTGTCTTTTGGAGAAGGCATGCCCGGCCCATGGGATGCAGGTTGCTCTACTCTCAGGTGGTGATGAGCGTACGTGGAGAGGCTGACCGGTGAGGAGGCCCTCCTGTCAGTGCTGTGATAACTTGGGTTTGCTCCGAGGGGCAATTTCCTCCGCCCTTCTGTCCAGTTAGAGCCCCCCGAAACCGAATACTGAAGAGAAGTGCTGGCACAGGCTGCATAAACTCTCCCCAGTGGGAAAGGATTCGTCATATAGTTTCCTGTGAGTGCCGAAGAGAAAAGTCGTCAATATCCTACAGATTATCTGAAGAACTCTTCTGTGGGGTTTTTTGTCTCCTGACAACTCTAAACTGTATAGATGTCATTTCTTCTGATAGATACAAATTAGATAAAGTTTAACTCATAGGCGTAGTATGAGATTAGCAAACAGTTGTGATCTAACAAAAGTTATGTGACTGTGGTTTCTCTCTCAATATTGAATCGCTATTTAATTTTTGGGCTGTATTTGGTTGTGGCTAACTGAAACCTTGGAAAGTGAAGCCACAGGAGGGGGCGCTTGTTCTTATTTCCATTTTAATTTTTAATTTATTATCTGGATGGGTGGATATGTGCATGTGAGCGCAGGAGTCTGTGGAGGCGTGAGGTGTCAGATCTGGAGTTGGAGTTACAGGTAGTTGGGAGTCACCTGAAGTGAGTCCTGGGAACCAAATTCAGGTCCTCTGGAGAGCACCATGCTTTCTTAACTGCAGAACGACCACCCTGGCCTCTGTTTACACTCAGAACATTTCAGTTCTTAATAAATGGTCTTTTGGCAGAGTTTCATTGATTTTACTTCATATGATATTATTTCGTATGGTATTATTTCACTGATAACACCTAAAATTTTTATTACATTTATTTGTTTTGTGTATGTATTGTGTATAGATCATGAAAATAGGAAGGGATCATGGGAAGGCAGGAAGACATCCTGAGGAGAGAAAAGATGCAGTGGGCATATGGAGGACAGTGAGGAGAGTACAGGAGAGCAAAGTATAATGACATCTATCATGAAATGCCATAGTGATTGCTTGCACACTGGCAGGATCGCCATTAAGGTTTATCTGAGGTGTGGTTATTACTAACTGAAAACAAGAAAATGCCATAGTTAAACCATAGCTTTGTATGTTCACTTAAAAATTACTTTAAACAGGGGCTGGAGAGATGGCTCAGAGGTTAAGAACACTGGCTGTTCTTCCAAGGGTCCTGAGTTCAATTCCCAGCACCCATATGGTGGCTCACAACCATCTGTAATGAGATCTGGCTCCCTCTTCTGGCCTGCTGGGATACATACAAACAGAACACTGTATATATAATAAATAAATAAATCTTTTAAAAAAATTACTTTAAACATAAAGATTTTTTTTTTGCAAATAAAAAAATAAATAATTTTATTTTGTTTTTGTTTTTTGAGACAGGGTTTCTCTGTGTAGTTTTGGTGCCTGTCCTAGATCTCGCTCTGTAGACCAGGCTGACCTCAAACTCGGAGATCCACCTAGCTCTGTCTCCCGAGTACTGGGATTAAAGGCATGCGCCCCCGCTGCCGCCGCCGCCGCCGCCGCCGTATGAATTAGAAAAACCTAACTTAACCCACCTTCTATATGACTCTGTCAGATACAGTGCATAGAAGGTACTTCACAATGCTTGTTGAATAAATGTAGGATAGGTGGGGAGCCTTGGCTCATGGGAAGAGAAAGGCTGGGACCCCAGGGAAGTTTGTTCTCACCCTGCGGTCTAGCTCCTTCTCCCTCTTGCTGCCCCACCATTAGCTAGGGAGATACCAAGAGCTTTAGGGAAGGGAAAGGGCGGGAAGAGCCATAGGAACTGCTGAGCTCCAGGAGCAGCCCCGTGCTCTTGAGCACCAGCTGACCAGTCTGCCCTTCAGTGCCACTTGTGGGGACTCTGGGGTTTCTGGAGATACCACACTGTAGAATTTCAGTCCATATCATGGGAGGCCAAGACAACAAAGGAGAAGAGCAGAGGGTGAGGTCACTGCAACCAGCCACCCAGCCTCTCACATAGAATTTGGAGTCGCCCCGAGGAGCCTAGGACACCGTCTTGATTCTAAGCTTCAACTCCAGCTCATCCCATGAAGGCCTCCAGATCAATCCCATCACCACTATACCTCAAGGTAGGGACAGCCGTGGCCTGCTGGAGGCAGCCAGAGTGCCGAGGAGCGAGAGAGGCTGTGGCCCAGAGGGGTTCTCTCTTTCCCACTCTCCATAAGTGAATGCGTCCCTCCAACTGAGATCTCGGGTACAGGGGACACTCTCTTCACTGGGAGTAGCTTTATCTAGTTAAGAAAAGGAATGCATTTGCACTCTGGTTCACAGAACATTCTGGAAGTTAATAGCTAATAATTGTGGGGAAAAGTCATTATATACGGAACATGTCAGACAATTACACATTCTTGCTTTTATTATTGGTGGCAAGTCTCCCACAATCCTCATTTTACAGATAAGGACTGAGGTCCACAGAAGCTGATTAACTTACTTATGGCCACATTATGATAAGGCAGAGTCAATATGCAAAGCCAACCAACCTGTCACCAGAGCCTCTGTTCTTAACCACTACATCGTGTGGCAAAATAGCCTCAGTAAATGGAGAGAAACGTCATGGTTGGGACAGGTTAACCGAGTAAATCTCCCCAAGGATATTCAGTCAGCTAAAGTGACAATGGCCTTGAAGCCAGTAGAGCAAAGCCAGAGCCTATTCTTAGACCCTTTGCCCCTGGCTATTCAAAATGTAACCAAAACCTTGGTATCAGTTGGGATCATATTAGAAATGTCTAGTTTCAAGGCCTTATGTCCAGGTCTAATGAATTAGAAACAGCATTTTAGCAAGACCAAAGGTTGACTTGTGAGCCTGCTAGTGGGGACACACAGGTGGACTTTCGGGGCCCCTGGCTGTCTAGACTGCATATAGACTCCCAAGCCCATCCTCCTGAGCTCTTGTGCAGCCAAGGTTGGTCTTGAACTTCTGATTCCTCCTCTCCTTGCCTCCCAAGGGCTGGGATTACAGGTACACACCACAAGGTCTAACTGTGTGCCTGAGTGCCTCGGTGCATGTGTCTGTGTGTGCATGTGTGTCTGTGCGTGCATGTGTGTCTGTGCATGCGTGCATGCATGCGTGTATGCACATGCGTGCGTGCACATGCGTGTGTGTGTGTGTGTGTGTGTGTGTGTGTGTGTGTGTGTGTGTGCCTGTGTGAGTAGGTACAAGTGAATGAAGTTTCTCTCAGAGACTGGAGGCATCTGATCCCCCTCCTCCCTCTGGAGCTGGAGTTACAGGCAGTTCTGAGCTACTCAGAGTGGATGCTAGGAACCAAACTCAGATCCTCTGGAAGAGCAATATGCATTCTAGACCACTGGGACAATCTGTAAGACGAATTACTAAATGGTCTTATTAATAAAAAACCTGGAGCCAGATATTGGGGTGAAAACTGAGAGATCAGAGGAACAGGACAAGCCATAGCCAACCTCACCTTACCGACTCCTCAGCCTCCAAAGAGACCTACTTCCTGTATACCCACGCCTATATGCCTTTCTGTTCTGCCATCTCACTTCCTCTCTCTGCCCAGCTACATCACTTCCTTTTTCTGCCCTGCTCTATCACTTCCTGTGTGTCTGTACAGACCTCCAGGCCTTTATGGTTAACTAGTGTTGGAATTTAAGGCCTGTGCCACCATGCCTGGCTCTGTTCCCAGTGTGGCCTTGAACTCAAAGAGATCTGGATGAATCTCTGCTTACCAAATGCTTGGATTAAAGGGGTGTGCTACCATTGCCTGACTTCTTTCTTTAATATAGTGGCTGGCTTTTTCCTCTGATCCTCAGATAAGCTTTATTGGGGTACACAGATAAAATATCACTACAACAATCTCTAAAGCCCCATGGGTTCTTGGAGTCAAACCCAGGTCCTCATTCTTTTTTTTTTCCATTTCTTTTCTTTTTTAAAATTTATTTATTCATTTATTTATTTATTTATTTATTTATTTATTTATTTATTTATTTAGTATGTATACAATGTTCTGCCTGTATGTATGTCTGTAGGCCAGAAGAGGGCACTATAGATGGTTGTGAGCCACCATGTGGTTGCTGGGAATTGAACTCAGGTCCTCTGAAGAGCAGCCAGTGCTCTCAACCTCTGAGCCATCTCTCCAGCCCACAGGTCCTAATTCTTATAAGGCAAGTACTTTACTGACTGATTTATTTCCTGCCCTTCTTTTTTTAATTCAGAAGTTCCAATAGAAGGTTTAGGGAATGGTTCAGTAGGAGACAGCAAGAGTCCTAAGAGCCTGGCATGTAACTTCCCTTCCCTGCCCAGTACTTGACTCAGCAAGAAAACAAGGTACGCTGGGCAATGGTGGTGCATGCCTGTAATCCCAGCACTCAGGAGGCAGAGGCAGGCAGATCTCCGTGAATTCAAGGGTAGCCTGGTCTACAGAGCTAGTCCAGGACAGGCTTCAAAGCTACAGAGAAAACCTGTCTCGAAACACCCCCCCCAAAAAAAAAGAAAGAAAAAAAAGAAGAAAACAAGGTACAGAGAACAACTCACTGTGGATGATTAAAATCAACCTAAGAACATTCCAACCTCAGATATCCTGAAATTCCCTTTGGTGTTGTTTGAGGTTCTAGTAAGATTCTATGTAGCCCAGGCTATCCTGTAACTTGCCTTATAGACAAAGTTGGCCTTAAACTTAAGTCATTTCTCCTAACTCAGCTTTCCAAGTACTGGGATGGCAGGTATGCACTGCCACACCTGATTGGATATCCTGAAATTCTAAACCTTTTCTCTTCAGTCCCAGCACTCATTAGAAATATTCTTGAATATTCTGTTTTCCTGACCTCTAACCTCATAGAATATTTTAAAGTGTGTGTATATTTGTGAATGTGCTTGAATGTTATATAAAAACAGAAAAAAAAAAAAAAAAACCCAGCAGGCGTCATGTCAAAAGGTGAGAAGGCAGTCCCAGATGAGGAGGAAGTGAGGCTCTGCTCACCTGTCAGGACTCAGAGACGGCAGCCTCCCTCTCCGTCTTCAGTGCTGAGTGCAGTCCTCCTTCAGCACAGCTTTCATTAGTACCTGCTGCACTTCTTTTTAACCGAGTATGTTTAAAACTTAAGACCTGAGCCGGGCGGTGGTGGCACACGCCTTTAATCCCAGCACTTGGGAGGCAGAGGCAGGAGGATCACTGTGAGTTTGAGGCCAGCCTGGTCTACAGAGTGAGTTCCAGGAAAGGCGCAAAGCTACACAGAGAAACCCTGTCTTGAACTCCCCCCCCTCCCCCCCAAAAAAAATCAGACCTGGAGGCTTCTCTTGAAAAAAATAGAGTATCTGATGATACCAGGCCAGTATCTGACGATATGTGCAGTATGGCAGCAATTAATCCAAGTCTCAACGAAAACACTCACTGCTTTTGTTGCCTCCGCCCTCTCCACTCTCGACTGTCTTCTTGATGCTGAAAACAGGGGTCAGTTGCCGGCAGTAGTTGCTTTGTTTTCTAGATTGACTCACTATGTTTTCTGTGTGTGACTGGTTTGCTAACATGTATGTCTGTGCACCACATACATGGCTGGTGCCCATGGAGGCCAGAAGAGGGTGTTGGGTCCCCCAGGACTGGAGCTACATTCAGGTGTGAGCTGTCATGGGAACTGGAAATCGAACCTGGGTCCTCTGCAAGAGCAGTGAGTGTTCCTAACCACTGAACCACCTCTCCAACTCTCAGCAGTTGTTTTAAATATCACAAGGTAAGAGTCAACCATTCCTTTTGCTCATGTCCCCTCAGACCTTTATCTATTTATTCCACCTATAGACATATGATTTGGAACCTAGTTCTCCTAGGATCTACAATCTCCTTTACATTTTAAAATATAGCATGATGTGGCTGTCTCTGAGCCAGAATGGAGAATTAATTTGTCAACGGTCTTAGGTCCAGACATTTATTCAACTCCCATTATGTTACCAGCGCTTGCTGCTATAGATGACTTAAGAAGCATGGATGCAATTTAACATTCATTAAGAAATAAGCCTTAAGCCTATAAGAGAACCAGAGAATAGTGTGAGAGGTTACGAGGAGGAAAGTTGAGTCTTGGCAGGAGCATGTGGTATAGGATTTAGGACGACAGATGGGGTTTAGAGTAGCTCCTCAGGGGAAGGAAGTGGGCTGGGGATGACTAAGGTATGAGGAAGCATGGTTGAAATGTGCCTGGAACAGATGTGGCTGGAGTAGCTTTGAGGCAGGGAGCATGTTATCAGGTGAGACAGGAAAGATGGGGGAGCTGATAAAGGACCACATCCAGGAGACTCGGGGTGGATTAGAACTTGGCAACAGGGAACCAGCTGCTGCTTCTAGAATGTCATGTTTTCTCACATGGCCTCATCTCCTCCATCTTTCCTGATCCTATCAAATATGCCAATGCCCTGAAAGGAGTGAATGACTCTGTCGTTATGTACCTCTGGCACCCTAGCATGAACTTTGAATGTTGTCTAGAAAGGAGTTTCTGTAATTTTGGTACGTACCCGTGTGACTCCATCCCCCTGAGAGAAGGCAGTGTGGCACTTAAAGAGTCTCTGGTGCATGCTTTTGAGTAAGTCAATGAATTAACAAATGGATACTGCAGATGTGAGAGGAAAGGGACTGCTATTCGTTTTGTGGAACTGGAAATGGAGAATATGGAAACGTCTCAAGGAAATAGATGAGTAGAACTGGGTGCCAAATTGACTTTCTTGGCCCCAAAGCCCAGAGAGATACCCATTGTGTCATAGGGATACTATGGTACTCCTGATGGCATCCAAGAGGCCAGAGGGGGCATTGTGAGGGATCTGAGTCCTATACCTACACAGCAGCTAGCTCGCCCCAGCATGCAACCCTGCATCCTTCCTTACCTGAGCTGGTCTTGTTGACCTGAATCTTTTTGCTCCTCCTGGCACTCCAGTCATTTCAGGGGTCAAGGAAACAAAGACCAAAAGTTAAGGAGAAGAACAGTGAACTCCGGTGGGTTTTGGTAATTTTTTTCCTGTCTTTTTTTTTTTTTTTTTTTTTGAGACATGGTCTCATGTATCTGGCCTCAAACTCACTATGTAGCTGAGGATGACTCTGAACTCCCAACCTTCCTGCCTCCTGAGTGCTGGAATTACAAATGTGCACCAGTGTGCCTGGTTTATGCAGTGCTGCAGATCAAGCTCAGGCTTTGTGTGTGCTGCAGCAAGCGCTCTACAAACTGAGCTACATGCTCAGCCCTGAAGTCAGTCATATCTCAAAGCTTATCCCTAGTTAGACTTTTCTTGATACAAAAGATTTAGAGGCAGATAGAAATATGGAAAAGGCCAGCTGTAGCTATACTGGGTGGGTATGATGCGTATTATGTTTCCAGAAGAGAAAAGGGGAAGAGGAGGTGGGATGGGAGGAGGTAGGGGCCAGAGCCCACAGCTCTGATTCGTCTGAGGAGGAGGACTGTGACCCTATCTTGCATCTCAGCCATGCATGCTATTTACTGTTCAGTGGCATGTTGCTGCTAATGAGTAAGAACTGATGATAAGTGCAACCAGCCTGGAAAGTGCCTGAATCTAAGGCATTGTCACACAGGGGTTTATTCTGGGAAACTGAGGAAGCTAAATGTCTGTACAGAGCAGCTATTGAGATAACAGGGAGGCAGAAGTGATCCTCTCCACTTCTTTTCTCAAATCTCCCTGACCCATTTTATACATGACAGTCCAGACCAGTCCAGCTGCTTCTCTGGTCTCTCTGAGTCTCTTCTCTTTCCCTTACAATTAACTGTAAGTGTAGCTGGAGTGACCTTTTCCAAATGGAAATTGGATCATAGTAACCTCCATGCGTAAAATGCAGCTAAGGCTCCGCTCCACTGAACGTGTAAAACCCTCCACATGGCCTTCTTTCCCTAAACCCATCAAGGTTCTTCCTCTGGACAAAGCCTCAGCCATTTGTTTCTTCAACCTGTCTGGCTCTCTGCCTCCCCTGTTCTTTTTGTCTAGTGCCTATTTCTCTTTCAGGGCTTAGTTCCCTCTGACTTTCTGGAATTAAAAAGCCAGAGACTGGTGGCAGGTTCCCTTTTCCTTTGGGGGTAGAGCACCTAAATTTGGTGGAGTATTGTTGTTTTGAGACATGCTAGCCTAAGTTGGCTTCAAACTCACAGGAGTCTTCCTACCACAGCCTCCTGAGTCTTTGAGATTACAGGCATGTACCACCACCATCTCAGACTGAAAATACTTAGTTTTGACTGGGCTTGTGTCTAAAGGAGAATGTGCTTTTCAGCCTCCCTTGCAGCTAATTTGGTCTATGGGACTGAGTTAAAGCTAGTAACTCAGCATGAGATATATGCAAAAGGGTTTGTGGTGGTTTGAATGAGAAATACAGGTCACACTCTCTCTCTCTCTCTCTCTCTCTCTCTCTCTCTCTCTCTCTCTCATAGGCTTGAGCGTCTGAACACTCAGTCCCCAGTTGGTGGCCCTGTTCTGAGAGTTTAGGCGGTACTGTCTTGTAAAAGGAAGTGTGTCGCAGGGGGTGGGCTTTGGGATTAAAAGCCTCGTGCCCCTTCCAGTTAGGTCTCTTTACTTTGTATTTGCGTTTGAAAATGTGAACTCTCAGCTTCCCATTCCTGCTGCTGTGCCTGCTACTGGCTGCTCTGTCTGCTAGCCTCCGATGGGCTCTTACTGCTCTGCAGCCATGAGCCCCAACAAACCTCATTGTATAAGTTACCGTGGTCATGGCAACAACAATGGAAAAGTAGCTAATACAGTGTTCTATAAATAGTAAGCTAGCTGGGGACTGTGGTCATTTCTGTACTCTCAGGCAGGAAGACCCTGAATTCTGAGGCAGCATTGCCAAAACAAGACTGTTTCAAAAACAAACAAAGATGCCAGGTACTGTGGCACATGTCTCTAATTCTAGGACTTAGGAAGGTCAGGAGTTCAAGGTCATCTCTCTAGTCACTTAACAAGTTTCAGACCTGCTGTGCACAGTGATTTAATAATTTGACACAATTAAAAACTTGCTTCAATATGAAATATTTGCTCTATTAGAATTCAGCACTAGTTCAGAATATGACATTCTTTGGTTTGGTTTGGTTTTTGGCTTTGTGTCTTTTTTTTTTTTTTTTTTTTTTTTTTGGTTTTTCGAGACAGGGTTTCTCTGTGTAGCTTTGTGCCTTTCCTGGAACTCACTTGGTAGCCCAGGCTGGCCTCGAACTCACAGAGATCCGCCGGCCTCTGCCTCCCGAGTGCTGGGATTAAATGTGTGCACCACCACCGCCCGGCTTGGCTTTGTGTCTTTTGAGACAGGGTTTCTCTGTGTAGCCCTGGCTGTCCTGGAACTAGCTCTGTAGACCAGGCTGTCCTCAAACTCTCAGAGATCTGCCTGCCTCTGCCTCCCAAATGCTGGGATTAAAGGTGTAAGCCACCACAGCCCAGAATATGACATTCTATGTAAACATTTCTTAATTACAGTTTTCTGTATGTTATATACAGTGACAGTCTTTTGTACAAACCATTAACTCTCTCCCAAGACAATTAGTAACACACATTAGTATTTATTGAGATCTCACTCAGATCTGCTTCCCAGTCTGACAAAGAACATGCACGCTAAGTGCTTGATGCTTATGAGCTCATGGACTCCCAACAGTATCCAGATGAGGCTGTCTGTCATCTTTTAGGTATTAAAGCACCTCCTCTGAGCTCTCTTACTTTCCAGCTTACCACCCCAGCACTCTTCGGTTGTCTCTGAGCTACTCTAACTGGTTCCTGTTGTGACAAAACCCCTCCTCCTGGCTGGCAGGTAGCTGGGTAGTAGAGCCCTTGCTTAGAAAGCTTGAGGCCCTAAATTCAATCCCCAAGACAGAGGGAGGGGGTATCTCTTCTAGGTGTCACCAGGAATGGGGGCACAGATTTTCTTATAATTCCAGCACTTGGGAGGTGGAGGCAGGAGGACCAGGAATTAAAGATCATTCTTGACTACATAGGGAATTTGAAGCCAACCTGGGCTACATGAGATCCTATCTTAAAATAAAAGAAGTTCCTTCTTTTGACACTTCATTTTTCTCTCCTGGTGATTTTACTAATTCATTTGTGGGTTTCCTTCTCTGTTTGTAGCTCAAACTAGTCTGGAACTCATTCTGGGCTAGCCTCAGCTTTGAAACAGCTTGCCTCAACCCCTTTCTCAGCGCTGGAATGATAGATATGGGTCACCCCACCCAACTTCCTGTCTCTCGCATCACACTGAATATCTCTATGTACAGGGCCATTTCTTCAGGCATAGAGAAGATAGGCCTGTGCTGGAGCATCCCAGGAGTCTATACTTTAGGAACAACCTCAGGAACTCTATTAAGTCTGAACAGAGGCCCAGTAAATAGGGGGATGAACCCAGGACACAGCAGGGTTTAAAACAATGTGGTTTGCCTCTACAGAATTAGATACTGGGTTAGAATTTCACTTTCATTCTTCCATGCCTGTTACGAACTCATTTTCATTGCTGGAGAAATATTTCCATTTCTATACAACCCCTCTGGAGTCAGGCCTACCTTGCTTGCTGTCTGGAGATAGACTAAGGCAAGGGGAACAAGAAAGACTGTCCAAAGACTAGGTACTGTGTGTCAAGTCCCTAACTGTGCTCCTTTACCAAGGCTCTCACAGCTGGGACCTTCCGGGCTAGGGGAAGGGAGGGCTAGCCGGATTTAAATCATGTACCTGTACGGTTTCTGCTGATGCAAGTCGGCAAAGATCTGCGAGAGGGCCTCGCTCTCCCCGTGGGCCATCAGCTGCATGAGGCTCTCACTGGGCTGGGGGCTTGGAGGTTTCTTTTGCACTAACTATACAGAGAAAGAAGAAGAAAACAAGAGGTTAAGCCTTGGGCTCTCTGCATTTTCTTAACACCAATCTCTAGACTCCGAAACATCAGGACCCAACCTCTCCCATTAGGCAGCCATGCCAGCTGCTCACGGAAGCAGTTCTCTTTGTTGGTAGCTCAGTGCTTGGTATAAATATCCTTTGATGCTTTAAATGTAAGGTCTTCATTGCCACCTGCCAACATAGATTTAGTAGCAACTTGTTAATATGAATGTTAATAGCTAGTGCTACTGGTTTTTATACTTAAATGTATATATTATGAAGGTTAATGTTTAAGAAACTAATTCCTGGGGTTGAGGATTTAGCTCAGTGGTAGAGTGCTTGCCTAGCAAGCGCAAGGCCCTGGGTTCGGTCCTCAGCTCCAGGGAAGAAAAGAAAAAGAAACTAATTTCTCTAAGAAAAGTCCTATATGTAGTCGCTTTGTGGATAGGTAGCGCATTTGTACCTGTTCATGTGTGTTATGTGTTGTGTGTGTATGTGTGTACATGGATTGATTGTAGCACACGCCTGTATCTAAGCACTTGGAGGCTAATGCAGGAGGATCTAGAATTGTAAGCCGTCCTGGGTTCTACAGCAGGATCCTGCCTGGCAACAGAATGCCTGCAGTTATGTTCCCAAGAGTGCCACCAACAAGGAATTATGTAAGATTCCGTTTAACAAAAGGATGTTGGGGTTGGGGATTTAGCTCCATGGCAGAGTGCTTGCCTATTAAGCGCAAGACCTTGGGTTCGGTCCTCAGCCTTGAAAAGAGAAAAGGTCACAAAGGATGTCAATGAGTAAGAGCTGGATGCCCAAAACACACATAAAACAGGATGCAGTAGCTCATGTATGAAACCCCAGAGCGCCTATAGAGGGATGGGAACCGGAGACAGGAGAATCCACAAACGGTCGAGGGCCAGTTAGCCTGGAGTGCACAGAGGAGAACCAGGGACTCTGTCTCAAGTAAGGTAGAAGATGGGGATCGACACCTGAGACTGTCCTCTGACTTCTACGTGTGTGCCATGGCCCACGTGTACACACACACACACACACACACACACACACACACACACACACCCAGTGGGGGGAGGCAGGGAGGGAGAGCTGGTAAGAACAGAGAATGAAAAAACTAAAAAAAAAAAAACCAACTCCCTCCTGGGCTAGGGAGATGGCTTAGTAGGTCAGAGTGCTTGGGAAAGAATCGGGACCTGAGTTCAAATCCCCAGCATCCATGTAAAGAACCATTCATAGCAGTGGCTCAAACCTCTAACCCCAGCACTGAGGGGTTGGGGAGCAGAGACAGGAGAATTGCTGGGGCTTGCTGGCCACCAGCCCAGCAAAAATCCCGCAAGCTCCAGGTTCCGTGGAATACCCTATCTCAGAGGAATGAGGCAAAGAAGGATAAAAGAATGTCTTCCTCTGGACTAGGCACACTCCTCACAGGGCATACAACCACCCAACACACACACACACACACACACACACACACGCACACGCACACGCACACGCACACGCACACGCACACGCACACATGCACACACACACGCACACACGCACACGCACGCGCACGCGCACGTACCCAAGCATGCGAATGCACATGAATGTATACCAGAAAAGTCTCTTTCGGCCTGGCATGGTAGAACGTGCCTGTACTTGGGAGCTGGAGAAAGGAAGTTCAGGATTTCAAGGCCAGCTTTGGCTACATAGAAAGTTTGAGGCCAGCTTGGGCTCCATGAGACTCGATCTCACAAAGCCAAACAAAAAAATAAGCAAAAACAAAACCCTTTTCTCTTGTTCCTTTTCACTGAATGGTGATGGCGGCTGATGGCTGCACAACTGTGTACCTCTACAGAAAGTCTGTGTACTTAGAAAGGGGTATTCTGTGCTTATAAACACTACCATGTCTGGAATAGAGTTGAAGCTGAGGGTACCTACTCAGGCACTCAGCAGCAGCTGCTCAAATCTCCCTCCAACTCTGGTCTTGGCTGAAGGCTGGCAATGGAGATTTCTTACCTCAGACTTTCCACATGGGCTGCAGAGGCTCTTGGGTACCAGGCAGTGAGTAACAAGGATGCTAGGGTCCTTGGTGGTGATGGACAGACCCTTCTGCAAAATTTGAACCAGGCGGATCCAAAAGTGGAAGACAGTCTCAGGATGGTCAGGGTGGAGTTTTAGGAAGTAGATCTTCTCGGTGACTGTCCTCAGCCTCAGGATGCGTTCATGGTGGTCATAGATCTGGAGCTCCACAAACTTCAAAGGGAGAATGCTAAGGACATAGAAGAAGACACTTGGACAACCCCATCACTTTTGACGTGTCTCCACGAGGGTGGAGGCTTTTAGGGGCGGCAAAGAGAGCTCTTGGCCAGTGACGCTCAAACTCTGGGAAAAGCAGACTTCCCTGGAGCACTTGATGCAGACTCTCCAAGACAGTCTCAAAGATTCAGATTCAGTAGGTCTGGGCTGTGGCCCGGGGACCTGCCTCTCTCACTGATTCTCATGCCAGTGCTCCCTGGGTCCCGTGCCACACCTGTAGCTCAGCAGTAAGGTGGCCGGACACATGGGGTTTTGCCATTTCTCTCTTGAAAACAGGAAGGGAGCTGACCCACCTGCACAGCTTGTTCATTCATTATGATACCCTCATGACTCCAAGACTGCCCAAATGAGCCGACTCAAGGACCTGGTTTAGATCCAACGGTAGTCACCTGCGGTGGGCGGGACTTGCTACAGGTATACCAACAGCATAATAGGGGAGCTCTGGCACGAGGTCGCTTGGAGGGATGAAGGGGTTTCCTGGACCTCTGGTAACATCTAGAGATTCTTGAAATGATGGCAGATTGTGTAAGGAGGCCTTTTGTGGCTTGAGTGTCAAATGTCCCCAGAGGCTTATTTGTTTAACACATGGTCCCCAGCTAATGGTGCCATTTTGGGAAGGTTATGGAACCTTTAGAAGGAGGAAGTACATCACTGCAGGGAGAGCTTTGAAGTTTTATAGCCAGACCTCATTTCCTGTTCTGTTTCTTGTTTAGATGCCATATGATCAGCCAGCTTCCTGCTCTTGCCAATGTGTCTCCCCTTCCCTGCCACAAAAGGCTCTGTCCCCCTGGAACTTGAAGCCAAAATGTGCCCTCTCTCCCCTAGCTGCTTTACACTGGGGTATTTTTTATCACAGCAACAGAAAGGAAATTGAAACACAGCCCAAGCAAGCATCAAGAAGGGCAGTTCTATCCCAAGCATCATGCTGCTCTACAGCCCCACGGGGGACTTAGGCGATTCGCTTTGTAGAGAAAAAAAACTACAGCCAGTGACTTGTGATCCAAAAATCAAGTCTAGGTAGTTGCACACCCAGGGCTGAGAATCATGCCTCTCCCGAGCAGCTCTCCATCTGCAGGTCTCACTGACTCATTATTCCTCAACCAAAGGCTCAGAGGTTTCCTGCTGAATCAGAAGAGTGAAGCGAGAAGGCAAGTGTGCTTGGAGACCAGCCTCCACTCCTGTCCATGTAAAGCTTCCCTTCGCACCAAACAGTCTGCCCTTCCAGTGAAAGCCCTGCCCTGTCTCACGTGACCTGTGTGTGTTGTACGCATGCATGTTTGTCAGGTGTGAGCTTGCCCATGCATGTGTTTGTGTGTGGAAGCCAAGGGTCAATGTCACTGTCTTCCTCTGTTGATGTCCACTATTTAAAAAAAATGTTTGTTTGTTTTGAGACAGGGTCTTACTATGTAGTTCTGCCTGTCCTGGAACTCACTCTGTAGCCCAGGCTGGCCTAGAACACACAGAGATCCACCTGCCTCTGCCTCCCGAGTACTGGATTTAAAGGCGTGTGTCACTACGTCCAGTTTAAATTTTTATTTTAATTATTTGTTGTTGTGTGTATGGGAAGTCTGTGTGCATGTGTGTCTGTGCACCACATGTATGCAGTGTCCACAGAATCCAGAAAAAAGTGTCTGATCTCCTGAGACTGGAGTTACAGACAGTTGTTAACTGTACCAAAGAGGAGCCCGTGCTTTTAACCACTGAGCCATCTCTCCGGCCCCCACCGTCTTCTTCTTAAGAAAGAAAAAGAGCACTTGTTGCTCTTGTAGAAGACCTGGCAATCGCATGGCAATTCATAACCTTCTTTAACTCCAGTTCCAGGGGATCTGACACCCTCTTCTGACCTCCACAGGCATTGGGCACACACATGGCACACAGATATACATGCTGGTACATTCACATGCGTAAAACAAAGTTAGTGGAACTTTTAAAAAATGTTAAAAATTTTAATTAAAAATAAGAAAAAGGCACTCATGAGGAAGGAAGTGGGCTAGTGAGTTGAGAAGACGGTTACACAAAAACCTCCACCAAAATCATTGAGACATTTCTCACTGAACCCGGAGCTTACGGTTTTTCATTTGGCTAGACTAGCTGGCTAGTCCCTAGGCTCCACCTCTCTTCCTCCACCCCCTAGCCCTGTCACTGGGATTGCAGGCATGCATCGTACTTGGCCTTTTGTGTGAATGCTGATGATCCAAACTCAGACGCTCACACATATCATGCCATCTTCAAACTGAGACATCTGTCTCCCCATCCCCCACCTATCCGTGTACATATGTGTTTGGGGAGGTATGTGTGCATGTGTCCACAGGTCAGTGTCATTTCTTAAGTGTTGTCCACCTTGGTTTTTAATCAGAGCCTCTCACTAAACCTGGAGCTTACTAGTTTAGGCGAAGCTGGGTGGCCAGCAAACCCCAAGGATCCACCATGTGTACCACTATACCCATTTTTTTTTAACATGGGTTCTGGGGTTTACCCTCAGGTCTCCCCATGTTTGCACAGCAGGCACTTTACTGATTGAACGAACCCCCAGTCTCCTACTTGTCTTAGGTTACTGCAGTCTAGAGCAGTGGTAGCTGAGCACCACAGTGCACGTTTGGAATACGAGCACTCAAGGAGGAGGCAAGTAGATCCAGAGTCCAGGGCAGCCTTGACTGCATAGTGCCTTCATGGTCAGCCTGGACTATAAAAGATTTTGTTTAAAACAAAATGAAAGAGAATTCCAATGAATTTCACTGCAATGGCTTCTCGGGTCCTCCCCATCTTGAGTTTAGCACCAGGTGGCCTCCACCTTGGCCTGCCTTCTACCCCACCCATCCCTCATTCCCATCTGCATTGATTGCTTACCTCTTCAGGATGATGCTCGGGGCTGTGGATGGTCTGTTCCATGTCTGGCTCTGCCCCTGAAGCCATTTGACTCTGGCCATAAGGAGGATGTTCGGAAGGGGTAGGCAAGGCACGGAGGAGGTCACCCCAAGGGCCATGGTGTTGGAGGCTCTGTAGATTTTTTTCCAGTTTCTGCCCCTTTTGACCTGTAACGCAGCCCCCAGGCCCAGCCTGAGCATTTGGTAAAAGCAGCAGGATGTTTTAGCCAAGTTCCTTCACTCAGCACTAATGTCTGTTTTTCATAGCTCTGGCTGGCCTAGAACTCACTGTGTAGACCAGGACCTGAGAGATCTGCCTGCTCTGCCTCCTGAGTGCTGGGGTTAAAGGACTGTGCCACCACACTATGACACTTAGCTCTTTGCGAAAGGAAGGCTATGCTGTGTTGTGGAGTGTTTAGCCGTGTCCTTGGCCTCTGTCCCCTAGACGCCCATAGCAAACTGCCACCCAAATTCTGACAACGGAAAATGTTGTCTCAGACATTGCCAAATGTTCCTTGGAAATGAGGGCTTAACCACTGCTTTTTGACAAGCATTTTAACCTGTATTGGTTTTAAAACTCTAGTGGGGTTTGTGGGTACCTTTAAAATTACTCTTTAGCTATTTAAACAAGACAAAATGAAACAAAACAGGGTTTTACTCTATAGACCAGGCTAGACTCATTCTCAAGGGCATCCTCCTGTCTCAGCCTCCTGAGTGCTGCTGGGATTACAGATGTGAGCTACCATGTGGATTTCTCTAACAGGATTTAAAGGACCTACTATTAACACAAGAGCAAGAAAATAACCTTGGAGTTTCTTAGCATTTACTTCGTATCTGTGGACCCCCCCTTGACGGCTTCCTGGCTTTGCTTTGAAAACAGTCATCCACATGGTCCTTCCATTTATTCTAGGTTCTGTCTGGTCCAAGGCGAGCCCAGGCAAGGAGAGAAAAACACACCAAGTGCCGCCTAGACCATGTACTTGGCTTGCTGTGTTTAAATGGATTTGTCCAGGTCCCATGCACAATGGCACCTCCCCACCAGCGAGCAGAGACTGGACTCTGGGCCCACGTTTCTCTGAGTCCTGACGTCCTATTCTTTGCCAATTCTGTTCCTAGTCCTCAAAGGTCATCTCCTTTCACTGCCTTAACTTGGCATCAGGTGACAGATCTGAAAATGACATAAATTAGGGGTTCCAATGCCTAATCCTTCACTCAGCAAAGGATGCCTGACCTTTCTCGTTGGGCGTACACTTACAGGAGAAACCCTGGTCAGCCTCGTGTCTCAGGCCTTCGAGCTTTCCTGCCTCAGTTTATCTCCCACTGCAGTTCTAGGGATAACTCTTTTGGTCACATCTTGGGAATAGACTTAGAAGAATCAAGGAGTGATGTTCTGAGTCACCCAAGAGTACCTGGACAAAGTTGCTTTCAAACACCACGGAGTTAGGAAACAGGTTGAATTCTGGAGAATGGACCATCTGGCAGAGCAGTCCTTCCTCCACACCCAGGCCCACTCCAGGGTTCGGCTCCCTATCCACAGGCAAGAGGCCCCTGAATTTTCCCCAGGCATTCAAGGAAGGGAAGGTTGTATAAGATCTTATAACTTTTACAGTCTTCTTCGAATTCCACCAAGACGTTCTAGGTGGAACTGATGTCATCGTGTCTGCACATGCTTAGGGGCCCTCTGCACAGTTGTCCTGGGATCTGTTTCTTCCCTTCTGACCATGGGCAGCTGGCCAAGGCCTAGGAGGCAGCCAGTCAGCTCACAATGATGAATGGATGACATCATGAAAAACCACAGCAGGCCTGCAAGAAAGGGAAGTGGTCGGGGGAGCCTCCCATTTCCTCCTGAGCCAGTGGAGTTCACTTATGCACTGACATGCCAAGTCTTTCTCTGGGGCTGCCTACCTGGAACAGTCACAGAACTTGCTGGGAAAGCCTGAGGCAGACAGGAAGCAAGGGCTGGTAGGAAGCTCCCACTACTGCCCAGAAGGAAGGTATTTCCTGACTCTCAGCCCTTGTGTGTGTGTGTGTGTGTGTGTGTGTGTGTGTGTGTGTGTGTGTGTGTGTGTGTTTTACTGGGATTGAACCCAGGGCCCCATACATGCTGTACAAGTGCCCTGCCACTCAGCTATGTTCCCAGTTCACACAGGACTTGAACTTGGCATATTTCTGTCTCAGCCTCCTCAGTTGCCTGCAGCATGAAGTTCAAGCTCCACTACTTCCGTTACATTTGATTGATTGATTGATTGATTGGTGTATGTGTGTGCACACATAGAGTGCCACAGCACGTGTGAAAGTCAGAGAACAACTTATGGGAACCAATTCCCTCCTTCCACCATACAGGGTCTGGGGATAAAACTCAGGCCATTAGGCTTGGTGATGAGGTACATGCCTTTACCTACTGAAGCATCTCACCACTGAGCCATCTTGCTGGCCAGTCACTGACTCTCTCAGTGCAAATTATCCTAAACAATGTGAAGAGCTGATATCTATTCAAAACTAGTTTCCAGAGCCTCATATGATATAATCCCCTCCACACACCCTGGTTTAGCATGACATCAGCCTCTCACATTCTGGCTTAAAATGACGTGAATCTCCCACACCCTGGTTTAGCATGATGTGAGCTCCCACCCCTGCACCCTGACTTACGTGCAAGAACCATTTCTGCTTCTAGAAGAGCTGCTGGCACCTGTTCTCTGCCTGCTATGGCTGGCTGGTTGCAGCTGCAGGATTTTTTCCCTTAAGAAGTCAAAACTGAAGGAGCAGGAGAAGTAATTAGTTTCTTAAGACAAGGCTGACCAGCTTGTGTGTGGGGGGGTGCGGGGCAGCACCACATCCTTGTCTCAGTGATAATGTACCTCCCCAAGAGCCAGAGGAAGAGGAAAAAAATCCAAATTCTGGGCATGGGATAGGTCAAAGAACCAAGCAGCCTGACAACCATTCAAAGTCAATTTAAGGAGAAATAGTATTCTAACTTGGAAAAAATTCTAGGATTTGGTAATGTTGAGGTCAAATGTGATAAATTCAGAAAAATGGTTTGGCAACCAGATATACAAAGGACGGGTCTAGATATGAGTCCTTTATTTCATCATAAAGTCAGAGACAGTCTGAGGGTTATGAGGCTTTCCCAGTCTGGTTCCAACAGCCCTCTCCTCTGGCCATGAGGCTACACCCGCCCAACCACCTGTTATAGCTCCCTGGGTAGCAATGAGATGTCCAACTCACATTCCTCATTTTCTTTTGCTTACTACATAGGGGAAAATGTGCCCCCTGGTAAGATTCTCTAAGGATGGGGTCATAGACCACACCCTGTGGTTTGCATTTCCTTGGAAACCAAAAACATGGTACAAAAGTGATGGCTGTTAATAAGCTGTGATCCCTTTTCACAGTTAGCACTTAACCACAACACAGCCTGTGAGCTAGATACAGGGCTGGGCAAACATAACCACTGAGACATCCCAAAGTCAACTGGGAAGTTGACTTTGCTCTTTTCCATCTAGGGACACTAAGCTGGCTTCCATGGTGTTCCTCTACCTCAGTGGAGGGAGGCTTTAGCACTGGTCTAGAAAGTTAATTATGAAAACACATTTGGCTCTAAAGATGCTAAACAATTGTATAAATGGTGTTTTAAGGTGTCTATCTTCTCCTCCTTGTCCCCACTAGCCTTCCAACACCAGTGTTTCTTCCACTTCTTTCCGCTAAACACAACATTGTTTACAATTATGCAAAAGAAGGAAGAGAGACAAAAGAGATAATCTCAAGACTAGAAAAGTTCTTCTAGATTTACTTAGTATGTCTATTTGATGTCCATTTCTGTGGTATGGAATTATTGACATTTACTTGGACATAGGCCATCTGGAATAGAGTACATCGTGTGGCTTCCCTTGCAGCTAGGTAAGGCTATCTGACTATTCTACTGAAAGACACATAAGCTCAAGTGATATTTCTGTGAGGAATTATTTTAGGGAGAAAGCACCCCTCTTCCCTATTCCCTATTCCCATCTCCCTTCCTACTCCCCCCGCCACCCTCCCTCACTGGACTAAAACTTCTGTTCCAGTCCTGAACTGTGAATTTCTTTTTTTTGGGGGGATGGGTTTAAGACAGGGTTTCTCTGTGTAATTTTGGTGCCTGTCCTGTATCTTGCTCTGTAGACCAGGCTGGCCTGGAACTCACAAAGATCTGCCTGGCTCTGCCTCCTGAGTGCTGGGATTAAAGGCATGAGCCACCACTGTCCAGCATGAATTTCTATTTATGAGAAAAAAATAAATTAGGAATTTTTTTTTACATATACTTACTATTTTGTATGTGGGTGTGTATGTGGGGTGGTGTATATGTGTATGTGTATATGTAGCACACATGTGGAGGTTGGAGGGAGCCTGCTCTCTTCCGCCACCGTGTGTGGGGTCCAGGGATTGAGACTACAGCAAGCACCTTTACCTGCTGAACCATCTCCACCCGGAGGCAGAGCCAGGCGGATCTCTGTGAGTTCGAGGCCAGCCTGGTCTCCAAAGCGAGTTCCAGGAAAGGCGCAAAGCTACACAGAGAAACCCTGTCTCGAAAAACCAAAAAAAAAAAAAAAAAAAATTTGGAATTTTTTAATTAGATTGAATCAAACCTAAAACTGGCTGGTGCTACTAGCATAAAACTCCTGTTCACTCTTCAGGAATAATTTTACAGCAAATGATAGTGCTATTTACCAATCATTCTAGGTGATAAGGAAAATAAAGTTAATTTGCAGGACATAGCATGACAAACTTGTGGCTTCTGAGGAGTGTATCTGTTTACTTCAACACTAGAAAACGCTGCTTCTGTGTTCCTCATGTGTAAAGTACTGGTATTACCATAATCACCCCCCCCCCCAAGACAAGGTTTCTCTATATAACAGTCGTGGCTGTCCTGGAACTAGCTCTGTAGACCAGGCTGGTCTGGAATTCAGAGAGATCTGCCTGCCTTTGCCTCCTGAGTGCTGGGATTAAAGGCATGCATCACCACCACCCACTATTTGAATATTTGATGGTGGTAACTGTGGTGACTTCTGGAGAGACATGTTCTGATGCTTGCTTAAAGTAACCCGAATTTCTGGGGGTCAGTCAGTGCTGGATCTAGGCTTTGTGCAGTTTAAGGCATGCTATTTAAAGATTTCCCTTCCTTCCTTCCTTCCTTCCTTCCTTCCTTCCTTCCTTCCTTCCTTCCTTCCTTCCTTCCTG